AAAAATGTAAATTTTTATTTTGCCTATGTGTTCTTCCTGATGTGCACATTGGTAAATACAATTCATATTTATTTATGTTATAATACATGTTTGAATAAATAAACCACATGTACTTGAACAATTTTAGGGTATTTCAGGATTTTCTTTAACCATGTGCCATTTTTCCTTTAACTCTTTTAAAGGTTAAAAAAGGTTAAAATTTTACCAATTTACTCTTTTTTTTTTTGAGACAGAGTCTGGCTCTGTTGCCCGGGCTAGAGTGCTGTGGCATCAGCCTAGCTCACAGCAACCTTCAACTGCTGGGCTCAAGTGATCCTCCTGCCTCTGCCTCCCAAGTAGCTGGGACTACAGGCATGTGCCACCATGCCCGGCTAATTTTTTCTCTATATATATGTTTTTAGTTGTCCAGATAATTTCTTTCTATTTTTAGTAGAGACAGGGGTCTCGCTCTTGCTCAGGCTGGTCTCGAACTCCTGACCTTGAGCGATCCACCCTAGGATTACAGGCATGAGCCACCGCACCTGGCCTCCAATTTACTCTTTAACTCTAGAACTTGAGTCTATAATATAAAGATTCCTAGAAATGGAATTTCTGAATGAAAGGGTTACATGCATTTAATTTTTAAATAGATAATGATGAATTGCTCTGTAAGAAACATCAATGTATAGCCCTATATAGAGTGTGTCCATTCCTCCATACCCTAACATTACATATTTTTCTTCTTTCTTTCTTTCCTTCCCTTTCTTTCCTGCCTTTTCCCTTTCCCTTCCCTTTTTTTCTGAGACAGGGTCTTACTGTGTTGCCTAGTCTGGCTTCAAACTTCCGGCTGGGCTCAAGGATGTTCCTGCCTCAACCTCCAGAGTAGCTGGGGCTCCAGGAACTCAGCACCTCACCCAGCTTAGATATTATCTTTCTTACTCTGCAGTCATTGGCTGGAAGAGGGCGTTTCATTGTTTTAATTTGTATTTTTGTTATTAATGAAGTTTAACATTTTCTTGCGTTCACTGGCTATTTTTAGTTTTTCAACAACTTGGTTATTTATATCCTTTCTCTATTTTTCTCTTAGGTTGTCTTACTGATTTTTTTGGAAGACACTCTATATATTGTAAACATTGACTGTTTTGTCTTTAATATATTTTGGAAATATCTCCCCTAGTCTTTTTGCTTATCTTTTAAAGATAGATTTCAACTGTCATCATTTGCTATGAGTGTGATTATTTGCCTAGAAAAATCCAAGATTATCAGTTGGAAAAAAACAATAGAACTAATGAACTTCAATAAGGTGGGCAGACAAGATAAACACAAAAATCACAGGGCTTTAATTTTTTTTTATTACACCAGCATAGGAAAGTGATACAGGGTGAAGATCCTAATTCAAAGTACTCCACAATCCAAAACTTTTTGAGCTCTAACTTGTCGCCACAAGTGGAAAATTCCACACCTGACCTCATGTGACAGGTTGCAGTCAAAACTTTGTATCATGCACTAAATTATTAAAAATGTTGTACAAAATTCCCTTCAGTCTGTGTGTATAAGGTGTATATGAAACATCAGTAAATTTCATGTGTAGATTTGGGTTCCATCCCTAAGATGTCTCATGTATATTTAAATATTCCAAAATCCAAAACACCTCTACTCCCACCCAAGTATTTTGGATAAAGGATACTCAACCTATATTAATCAATTAGAAAACATAATGAAAAAAATATCATTCCTGGCAACAATGAAAAACAATAAATTTGCAAGAACTACTTAAAGAATACTGTATTTTGAAGGATAGAAAACCTGAAAAAATGGAGATATA